CTAGAAACGTATCACCCAATCAGCTCCCTTTGGAGGCAGAATGCTTCATTGCAAAGCCTCTATCAGACACCAGCTGTTCTGTAATGCTACTCTGGGCTTGGCTCCTGTTGCAGAAGGATTTATGGGGCCTCGAAGGAGCTGATGGTAAACAGAGCTGGCTTTTCTCAGATGACCTCTGCCCTGTCCCCTCTTCCCTTCACCTGCTCTTTCTCTGTGGTTTATCTGTGAAAAGCCTCTGGAGCCAGCAGGGCCAGGCCTAGGAGTCCAGAGGAGAGAGAGAGAGTGTGTGTGTGTGTGTGTGTGTGTGTGTGTGTGTGTGTGTGTAGGGGATATCTATCCCTCATCTGGGAAGATGACCCTGGATTTCTGCTGTCTAGAAGTAAAGAAAAGTCTCTTCTGCTCGGTGTTTGAGTGGGAGAGGCCTGCTAGCTATCCTTCCGTTATCTCTGGTCTTATCTCCAGAGAAGGTTTGGAAAAAAGAAACAGAAAACCAAGAGTTTTCTTAAGGCTGCCTATGAAAGAGAATATGTGGGTGTGAAATAGTGTCCTGGGTGGTCAGTCAAGTTTTTCAGAGTGTCCAGGCTACATCAGGGAACTTAGATTAAATGATTTAATATCTCCAAAGCCCTTTGCAAACTCTAAAGAGCTATAAAAATGTCAGTTATTACTAGGTTATTAAGGTTACTATTTTCCCAGAATACCTCTTGTTGCCTTCAGCTTGAGTTAAGTACTGGCCCGAGGAGTAGAAAGAGGCCCTGAGGCATATCTACTACATCAGCAGCCCCTGCAGAGTGGTAGGGAGAGGAGCCTTCAAAACATTTTTTTTTTTGGTGGGGGGAGGCATGAAATTTAAACATATGTCCCTGGATGATGATAGCCAGAACGTTTCTGCTTCTAGCAAGCCGTTGATTTTGACTTCTGGGTATACACTATCTTCATGGTACCGAGGCTACTATGCCTCCCTGCCTCCTGAGTCCTGATACCTGGTTCCTACAGTTATAAGCTATAGAACTTTCACTGCTCAAGACAAATAGCATCGCTGGACCTGTTTTCTATCTATGCAATGAAACATTTATAGTATGTGTTTCTTAATCTGAGTCTATGAATTGTTTTTTTTAAAATGGTGATAAATATATTTCAATATAATTGATTTCCTTTGTAATTCTGTGTATTTTATTTTATACGTTTAAAAAAAACCAACATTCTGAGAAGGGGTTTGTTTATGTGCTTTGCCAAACAGGTCTATCACACAAAAACTGTTAAGAACTCTTAGACCAGATGTTTTCTAAGGTTCCTTTTAGCTCTAACAGTATATGATTTCAGGATTAATTTAAGAGGCTTCCTTCCTACCCCCTTCCCTCCCCTTCCCCCCTTATCAGCTGAGGGAATAGAAGATGGCTAAGGTTAATCCCTTAGTTTGGGATCTGGTTGTTTAGCTTGGAAGAATGTTTAGTCATTTTCAGCTATGTCTGACTCTTTGTGACCCCATTTGGACGTTTTCTTAGCAATAATAATGGAGTGGTTTACTGTTTCCTTCTCCAGCTCATTTTACAGATGTGGAAACTGAGGCAAACAAGGTTAAGTGACTTGCCCAGGGTCACATAGCTAGTAAGTGTCTGAGGCCAGATTTGAATTTAGGAAGATGAGTCTTTCAGACTCCAGGCCTGGTGCTCTGTCCATTGTGCCACCTAGCTGCCCTTTCAAAGAATGACTTCTGGTTAATTGATCCTGGTGAGGCAACAGGATACTCTCTGGGAGGGGAAGTCCACTTTTGCTTCCTTACAATGGAAGCTACCCTGAGCAGAGGTCAGGAGACAGACACTAATACTGTGGAAAGAGTGAGAAGACGGCAGAGGAAGGGAAGAGAGAGGAGGGGAGAGGAGGGAGGACGCTTCATTATCTGGGCTTTGTGGTGAGAGTGGGAATGAAAGCCCGTGGATACCAAAGCACCCCTGTCTACCACCTTTGGGATTACCTTCCTTGCCTCCAGCCATGGTTTTACAGAGCTCTGTCCAGGGGCTACTGCCTTGAGGTCATCCCCTCCCCTCCTCTCTTTCATTCTCCTGAATTCTTTCTGGTAGGGTCTCCTACTGGGAGCCCAGATTCTTGGGCACAGTCACTGCTTCTACCCTCCAGATAGTGAAGATACAGATGGGAATGATCTATTTGGAAGCCAGACAAATGTAATTGGTTATGTCTGAGGATTTTTGTCTTCTTTGTCTAACTTGCGAGTAGCTCCCAAGGATGTCCGCCCCTCCATTTAGTTACCTCAGTCCAGCTCCCCAAGTCTAACCTGTTCTTCGTCTAAGATCTCCCTTTCCTGGCTCCCTAAAAAGCCAGATACTTCTTAATTTTCTAGTCTTAAATGAGTTTATTCCCTAGGCTAGGGGCTTCCAAATTTTAGAAATTGTGGAACTTTTATATTAACAATATATGCAAGATACATTTTTGTGTTTAATCTACATCATTAACATTTTATCCATCACTTTTGGAACTCTAGATCATCAACAAAACAGGAAGTCAAGCCCTGATTTTCAACATTTGCTGATTTCCAAGGTGTAAATGCTCACACTAAAAACTGAACAATTGTCTGGAGCCAGTCTTGACCCAATTCCTGCACACCTCTGGCGCTTACCTGCCTTTCCAGCCTCCATTACGCCATACACACTAAGGGCCAACCAAACTGGCCCTCTGATGTGTTCCTCACATGTCACATTCCATCTCTGGTCTCTGTGTCTTCATTGCACTTGCCCTCAATGCCTGGAATGCACTCCGTCATCACCTCTGCCTCCTCAAATTCCTCTCCTCCTTCTGCACAAGGCCTTTCTTGATCCCTCTCAAAAACTAGTGTTTCTCCCTCCCAACTTATTTTGTGGGTATTTTGTATGTGTATATAAATGTATACCTATGTTATATGTATATGTACATACATATGTAATATACTTAGATATTATTACTCTAAATACAAGTAAGCTTTCTGAGGGCAAGTACTGTTTTGTTCTTTGTACTTGTATCTCCAGCTTTAGCAAAGTGCCTGGTACCTAGTAGATGTTTAATAAATGTTTATTGATTAATTGATTACCATGCTTCATACTATTCTGTAAGCCAAATAGCGTAAAACAGAATTTTTACTGATTTTTCATAGGAACCATAAAATGCCAGAGTTGGAAGGTCTTCACAGGGTATCCTAGAGAATCTTAGAAGATTAGTACTAGGAGGAATCCCAGAGGTCATCTACTTTAATCCCTTCATTTTACAGATGAGGACACTGATGTTTCTAAAGGTTAATTGACTAGCTCAGTTTTATACAGCCTGAACCAGAACCCAAATCTCTTAGACTTGTAATCCAGGGCTCTTTCCATTCCATTACTGTTTCCAACCTCCTCAGTTTGCAGATTTGGAAAACAGACCTAGATAGGGGGAGGGACTTGCCTAAGGTAAGGTCATATGGCTAATTAATTAGTGGCAAAGCCAAAATAGGAATCTAAGTTTCCTGAATACTGGTCCAACCTTCTTTCTATGCCATATTGACATATAGCCAACAACCCATAGATGGCAGGAAGATCAGAAATAAAATAATAATAATAATAATAATAATAATAAAAATAATAAAATGACATACTGTTCATAAAGCTACTCTTTAATATAAAGTTACTTAGACGTAGTTTCGTTAATAATTCATAATCAAGCCCAACTCTAAATGGCCATGCCCCATCATGACATCATCTGGCTTTTGCCCATCTGTATAATGGTTTCTGTGGAAGTAATTGCCTCTGTTATGTTATGATACCCATGGATGACATTAGGTGGGGCATGCCACCTAATAAAGATTAGGGAAGTAAGATTGAGAGTGGAGGTTATGAGACTTGTAATTAAATTTTTCTCTTCTGCTTTCTTTTCTTCACTTTTCAATTTTCTGCCCACATGTGGCAGCACTCACCAGGGCCAGTTTCTTGCCCTTTGATCCTACTTGGGAACAAATGTTCTTCTGCAGGGTGACATTGAAAGGTTAATTTGGAGACAGAATGAGAAAAAGTAACAAGATTCCAAAATAACATCTTCATCTAATTGTGAAACTTCCCTGGAACCCTAGCCAGCTTCTTGGACCCCAGTTTACTACACAGTTTGAAAATCCTTTCCGGAGGCTGCTGGAAAAGCCAGGCCTATTCCATATCTTCTTTCAAACTGTCCTCATACTCCCTTCAGCCAGGACACTTGCCTTCTCTTTCTTCTTTATGTTTTCTGGATCTAGCACCATCTCCATTCCTTGGGGGTGGGTATGTGTGTGAGACAGAGTAGTTCCCCTTCTTTTTTTTCTTGTCCCATCTGTTATTTATCCTAACTTGCGTGCCAGAATTCATCAACTAGCAGTCATTATTAAGAACCCATTATATAAATCAATCCCTTATTTAAGGAAATATAATAGGGGACAATTAGCCAGGACAGTCTAGTTTTCTGTGATTCTTGGAGATATCTTGGAGCAGTTGATGTGATTGTAATATGGGAATCTTCCACCTCCAGCCTAGGGTTTTCCCAAAGCAGACAGGTTTGGTGTTCAGCTAAATAGTAGGAGGGTGGGAAAGAAATGGCTAGATATGGGAGAAGATGTGTGGCTAGAGCATTTTTTCTCCACCCTTCAAGTGATACCCCATGCTTTCTGGCAGCCTATGTCCAATATGCTAACTCCAGCCAAGTTGGAATATTGCAAATTTGCATATTGGTTGTATGTTCACTGAATGCTTTGGTCTTAGAATCAGAAAATCTGGATTTGAATTCCAGCTCTTCCAAATTCTAGCAATGTGACCACAGGTGAGTCACTGAACCTCTCTGAGACTTGGTTTTCTGAAACAGATAATAACATTTACATTTCCTGACTACTGGGCTACTGTGAAGAAAACACTTTGTTGAACTTTAAACGCTATAAGAATGTGAGTTATTGTAATCTGAAATAGTTCCTTACCTTTGTTCCAATTTATTCATTTTTCTCTTTCCTCTTATAGGTCTACATTATCAATGTGACTTGGTCTGACTCCACCTCCCAGACTATCTACCGGCGATATAGCAAGTTCTTTGACCTTCAGGTAGGTGTTTTCTTCTGTGGAGATGCTGTTTTGTTTCACTTGGAAGGATCTGGATTTCTCATTGGCCAGGCTTCTTCTCACCTCTCCTTCCTTCCCTCTCTTCTTCCCTCCCTCCCTTCACTTGACCTGGACAGTACTTTTCAGCCAAAGACCTTGTGCTCAGATTATAGCAACAACAGAGGATACAGACCTCTTGGATAGAGCTGTATTTGTGAGGGCAGCGTTTCCTGGACAATGCAGGTTTCTCCACCAAAGAACACAGATGCTTTGGGGTATTTTTGACAGCTTTAAAATGTTTCACAGAATCTCAGAAGTCTCCTAGAAGGGGAAAGGACCAGAGTTGAAAGGGGCCTCAAAGGTTTTGTAGTCCAGACACCCATCAAATGCAGGAATTCTCACTATATCCTTCACGACACCTAGACTGGTCATCTAACCTTGGCTTGGAAACTTACAATGATGTGTATGGAAGTTCCCTGTCTATCCAGGCAGCCTATTCCATTGTTGAATAGTCCTGATTGTTAGAAATTTCTTCCTTATACTGAGCCTCCTTGGAACTTCCTGCCATTGGTTCTAGTTTCCTTACCCTTCTTTCCTATTGTTTTTTTTCAAGGTGGGGCGAAGGTAGAAGTTATAATGGCTAACCACTGTATTGGTGGGTGTGTATATATGTGTAGGTGTACAAATATGTGCGTATGTAAAGAAGTGGGGTGAGGCAAAAGTTACTGTACAGTGAATCAATGAAAAAGACTTTTATTGAGCACTGTGTGCCAAGCACGGGGTATACACATAGAAAGGCAAAGCAAATCCTTTCTCCCAGGGAATTCACATTCCAATTGGACTAGACAATACAAAAGGGAGGGTTGAGCTGCAGGGGGGATGGAAAGACTTTGTGGTGCTTAGGGTACAATGGCAGGATGGTGTTTAGGTCACTGTAGGAAGGATTGTAGTTGGTGCCTTTCTACTCATCTGGTTGGTGTGAGGAGGGGCATGTCTGATGGGGTGGGGTGGGAAGTTGGAGGGGCTGGCCTACTATCGTTAGGAAGAGAGAAGTCAAGTCAGCAAGCTCTTAGTAAGTGCTTCCTATGAGTCAGAGTGTACTGGGGGCTTTGGATTCTCTAAGAGGGTCTGAGGATGGGGGAATCAGCATTTAGTTAGGTGGGGGTAGGGGACATTGGCAGGAAGGTTAGGGGTGAGGATTCCCTGGAACATCTGCTCTGCTAGGCCCTCCAGCACCCAGTGAGTTCTGGGCAACACACGTTTACTTTGGTGCTATAAAATTGGGAAAATTACTGAATTATACAGTATAATTATACTGAATTATACCCCTACCAGGGGTAGGGAACCTGCGGCCTCGAGGTCACATGTGGCTCTCTAGGTCCTCAAGTGTGGCCCTTTTCCTGAATCAGGGAGGGAAGAGTAAAAAAGAGGAATATACTAGGCTACAAAGGAAGAAGGGGAAAAGAACTTGGTATTTCTCGTAATGATAGTGGGTGAGAAGAGTATACAAACATGGAGGTGGGGGAGTGGGCATCCAGTGAACTTCACTCTTACGTGAAATGGATCAAAGAGGGTGGAACACATTTATATACACATCATATCCCCACCCCTGTATTTCACCCGTCCATAAAAACTGAGAAAAGAAAGAAAAACATTTGTAACTTATAAGTATAGACAAGCAAAATGAATCCACGCAGTGGGCATGTCCAAAAATGAATGTTTCTGGTACACCTTGTATCCATCACCTGTTTATCTGGGGGTGGCTATAGGCTTTGATATAGAGTTTCTGATCATTGCATTGATCAGAGTTCTGAAGTCTTTCAAACTTGTTTTTCTTTACAATGCTGCTGTTCTCATATAACTTGTTCTCCTGGTTCTTCTCACTTTACTCTGTATCAGCTTAGACTACTAAAGATTCTCCTAAATAATTTATTTTGCAGTTTCTTATGATACAGGAATATTCCATTACATTGATATACATACCCCAGTTTGTTCACCCATTCCCTGATTGTATAAGAGGCAATTTAAGGCATTCCCCTTAGATCCTAGCTCTTTTCTTTTCTTTTTTCCTTCTTTTCCCCACTTCAAGATCTAAAAGTTATTTTTTGCTTATCCTCTCTCTCAGTGTCATTCCCCCTCCTTTACCCCCTTCCCATTTGTTTCCCTATTGAACTGATGTATTTCTGTATCAAAGTCTGTGTGTGTGTGTGTGTGTGTGTGTGTGTGTGTGTAGGTGTGTTCGGCCCTCCTTGGTCCATTTCACCTAAGAGTGAGGTTCATTGGATGCCCACTCCCCCCACCTCCATGTTTGTATACTCTTCTCACCCACTATCATTATGAGAAATAGCAAGATCCTTCCCTTTCTTCTTCCTATGTAGCCTAGTGTGTTCCTTCCTTTACCCTTCTTTCCATGACCTCAGTTCAAACCCTCAGGAGAGAATCAATCCATCCCAGGGCCTCTGTTTTTCTCCTCCAACTGCTACAATAACTTTTGAGAGACATTAAGATTCTGAAGGAATGCTTGTTTCTTCTCCCTCATTTAGAATGTTAGCATTGCCTTATCATGCAATTCAATTCAGTTGCTCAAATACATTTACTTCCTCAGGTTTTTCTGGATTCCTGCCTTTGTATTTCGAAGTTCCTGCTCAGCTGCAGTATTTTCACCAGAAATGCTTGAAAGCCACTATTCCATTAGATATCCATTTTTCCCCCTCTCTCTGGGATTATTCTCAGCTTTGCAGCGTAAGTTAGTCTTGGTTGTAAGTCTATATCCTTTGTCTTTTAGAATGTTGCATTCCAAGAACTGCCGGGTCTTGATCCTGGCTGTAGTTCCTGGGTACTCGAACTGCTTATTTCTGGAGGTTTGCCACAATTTTTTCTTTGATGTGGGAGTTCTGTAACATTCCTAGGACTTTTCTTTGGGTTTCTTTCATGAGGTGATTAGTGGATTCTTTCTATCTATACTCTGTCTTTTGGTTCTAATAGATCAGTTTCCCTTTATGATTTCTTAAAATAGAGTGTCCAGTTTTTTTTTAATTAGAGTTTTCAGGAAGTCTAGTGATTCTTATTTTTCCTTGAGTTGTTTTCCAGATCATTTAACAGGCATTTGTTCAATGTATATGCCTACTATGTGCCAGGCATTGTGCCAAGAACTATTATTTTTCATATCAGATACGCTACTTTTCTTCTGTGTTTTCAATATTTTAGTTTTGTTTCAACATTTCTTGCTGTCTTATGGCGTCATTGATTTCTATTTGGTTAATTCTAGTTTTTAGGGAATTTGTTAATTAAGGTTTACTGCTATCTTTTCTAAACTATTTCTTCTTCTAATTCTTTCCTTCAGAGGTTTTATTTAATTAATTTTTTTTTTTACTTTTTTTTGTAGATGTGGTCCTTGTGGAAAATCCATGCTTTCCTTTGAATCACTCCTTGCAGAGTAACTCCAGAGTTACTCTCTCCTTTCTGGGGATCTACAGATTTGCAATCATTTTTTACACTGGTTGGTGTTGGCTTTGATTTACTCACCTTTCCAACTTTAGTTCATGAATTGAGGCTTTGTGCCAGGACCAGGTTCTGCCCCTTGCTGAACTTTGGGGTGGGGTGGTCAGCTGTGTTTAGTCTTTTGCTCTGGGTCCGCTGAGTTCTTGTGCCGCCATGGGTCTTTGAGGTTGAGAGTGCTGCTGGATCTTCATGGCCCTCTCGTGTCTCAGAGACATGAGAGTAACAGTGTGTTAGGAATTACAGAGCCCTTGTACCTAAGCTGCCTTAATCTGAGAGGCTTGGTGCTGATTACTCCAGGGCTTTCTCAAGGGAGCCCTCTCCTCTTGGTGCCTCCAGACATAGAGCCTTACAGACCACAGGTGTGGTCTGATCAAGTTTGGAGGCTATGCTGGACCAGTGCTGACTTTACTGGAGGCCTCCTTTCCTATTGTTTATTTAATTTATATTATTTATTTTGTTTCTATATTTCTTTATATTCCTTATGTTTATAATTCTCAATTGCATTGGCATAATGGGATAAAACACTAGACTTGGAGTCAAGAAGACCAGAGAAACAACTCTGTGACCCTGGGCAAATCAATATTATCTCTATTTTATTATTTATTATTTATATCTCCAATACTGTCACTACAGTATTATGTCCATTTTACAGATGAGGAAACAGACTGAGAGAGGTAATATTTTCTGATTCTGCTCTCTTGATTGTTGAATCCTTAGCCTAGACCACCATTTCAGAAAGAGCCCCTAGTTATCTGACTTCTCCACCTCTCCTCTAGTTGCCTTGCCCTACCCTGCCTTTCCAGTTTTTTGTTTTTGTTTTGTTTTTTTTGTTTTTTTGGGCAATTGGGGTTAAGTGACTTGCCCAGGGTTACACAGCTAGTCCAATTTTCTTATATATGTTGCCTTCCCCCATTAGAATATAAGCTTCTTGAGCACAGTACTGCTTGGATGTTTGTATTTGTGTCACTGGCACTTAGCACAGCACTTGACACATAGTAAATGCTTGGTAAATGGCTTAATTATCTATCTAATATCTCCTACCTTGGCACAGTGCCCGGCACATAGGAAGGGCTTAATAAACACTTTGTCTGTCTATCTTTCTATCTATCCATCTACCTACTTCACAGGGATGTTTTGAGAATCAAATGAGATAACATACGTAAAGTCCTTTATAAACCATAAAGTACAGTACATAAATGTCAGCTATTATTATTATCATTATTTATTACATTTTATTTCTGTTGTCAACCATTTTACAATTGTTGAGCTTTTGGTTGTTTCAGCATTTTGGGAGCCAATTATAAATAACTTATTTTCTTTATTTTAAAGCTCATTTAAAAAATAAACAAAAAACATGGGATTTGTAAGCTTTTTCCACCCTCCTGTCCACTCCCACCCCCTTTCTCTGTTCCTCTGCCACTCCTGTCCAGTCTCCAGAGGTCCTTCTAACTTGGGCGGGTGGAGTATTACAGAGTTGCACTGATCAATGGGGTTAGTGTTGC